GTTTCGCGTGTGTCACGCGCGAACTGCTTGCGTGTGTACGCGCCGTCGCGTGTCCAAAGGCGGACGACGAGGAGCGCAAATGTGGGAGAAAGAAAGAGAGGGAGAGACCGGCAAGGAACGAACGGAAGAATAGAACGAGACAAGGAAAAAACCAGGAAAAAGAAGGAAAGAAAAGGAAGAAGAAAAAATGTGGATAGAAAAGTGTTTAAGCTGAGAAAGGATTCGGAGAGCCTTTCAGTCTTGGTCTCTCCAAGATAGGGTGCGAATTTGGTGCACGCTGTCAACGATACCACGGTCGCCGTTAGACTATCGTGTCTAAATCAGGGAGAGTCGCGCACACAAATACATAAGCACAGTGCCGCGTTAAATTGTTTTGCGCCCATAGACTAAAATATTTCGAGTGCCTTTTTATAAAACAGTCACCCCTGGAATATACAAATATATCTCAAGTTCGATTTTGAGATGTAAATATTTTTTCAATATTTAACAAAATTTTTTTAATACATTTTAATTTTTACGTACAAAGTTTTCTGTTTTTTAAGTTTTTAGATATTTTTCAACACACTTCAAGCTTCATGAATATGAAATTCTTTTCAATGTTCCCTAACTTTTTAAATATTTTTTAAGGTTTAACTGAAAAAAAGTTTTTTCTATTTGACACCTCTAAACATTAGTCAGCTCATGTCTCAATACGGCACTGCACTTACACGGGAAATATATCGTGCATCTCTCCCCGCGGTTTGCGCGCGCTCGTTCTCTCCCCCTTCCCAACTGCTCCTTGTGACCCACTACCCCCGTCGTCGCGTCCACCACCCTGGAACTAGTTTCAAGAACGCGGTTTCGCGGTTTCTCCGTCCAACACCTGAATCCGGTTAACGGCTCGACAACAATGAATCCCGGCGCTTCGTCGAAATAGCTGTACTTCATTCAGTCACGATACCATACTTCGACTTCATTCAGCGACGTGGAGCTTCAAACTAACTTTGAGATCGTCGATCACGGTTCATTGCAATGTCGCACTTTCCATCGTTAAAACGTTGGTTTCATTTCAACACATACATATTTATTGTTTCTTACTTAACATGATTCATTTGATTTGAAAATTTTCATTAGTTAATAATAGTTCTTTTGCGAGATAATTATCTTTAATTTGAAACTATCTTTCATTTTTCTCTCTCTTTCTCTTTCTCTCAATCTATTCGTACAGTACATTACTTAATAATGGACTCGCTTGCGTTATCCTAAATTAGTGAATACTGAAATCTGTTATGTAAACTTAACAAAATTAAATGCAAAAACATATAAATATTTCAAAGAATTAAATACTTAATTATAATGATACCATCACGTTATCTAATGATATTTTTCAATCTAGTTTAAATCAATCTTGATTGAATTAATTATGTTACATGCTCTATGAATAATAGTAATGGCTCTAGAAATAATTAAAAACATTTCATATTGGGAATAATTTGACATTATAAATTTAACTAAGTGTAGGACGTTTAGAGGATACAGAACATAAAGATGTTCTTGAATATTTAGAACGTCTATGTTGTATATGTTGTAAATATATCTATCTCAAGCTTTTCTTAAGCTATTTATTTATCTTTTTCGAAAATAACAAGCCAATTAAGTCTCATCAACTCCGATTAATTTGATTAGTCGATTAAATTTCAGTATTGCCAATTGTAAAACTGAAAACATAATTTTCTGGCACTTGAAGACTTTGGCTCTAAGAATGATTTAATAATAATTGTTATTGCCATATACATATGATATCGAAGTATGTAAAATTAATTCATTTAATTATTTGAATTATATCAATGTCGCATATTGTTTTTCACAACTATTAGAATATTATATTTTCAGTTTTGCAGTTGGCAATGCTGAAATATAATCGGCCAATTAATTAAATTAATCGGAGTTAGTGAGATTCGTCAAGATATATTTTATATATACTGGACCAAAATCTTCCTTCTTGCTTTCGCCAAATATCAAACATATTTCATTTTAAATGCAGAGAATATATTTATACATATAAATTAGGATACGTATGGATTCCAATTAGAATTATTCTATTTTCCCTAGAAAATAGATATATATATATATATATATAATGGAATTGTAAGAAATAATTGAACAATTCCGACTAGGAAATCCACATTCCGAATAATTTCATAATACGTAACATAAATACGTAAGTTACATAATATGCATACTTAGTTGAAAAAAAAAGACTTTGTGTCGTAACGAAAACTTAATATAATTACTTACTGCGTCGCTTTTTAGCGTTTAGAGTTCAAGAAAACGTTACGTCGATAATTGAACGCCGTGTTAGAAGAGCGTGTGCATTTCGATAAGAGGTAAATATCGGACTGAAATACGCACTCACAAATTCAAATTTCAAAAGTCGGCCACCGAACGCCGCGAACGCCGCGATAGGCTGGCCCGCCATTATGCGAATGCGATTCGACGGCGGAAGGAGGGAAGGGATAACACGATTAGTCGCGTGTTGCGATTGGCTCGCGCGCAACTTTACGTCCACGCACGTCACTTCTGTAATTCTGAGCAATCGGTGGATCGGATTTGGGAACGTGTTCGCTCGACTACCTGCTCTCGCGATCTATGTCCAAATATTCTAAATAGCCTGTAGCCTGTAGCGAATGTTGTTGTTGTGAGGTTAGGGAAAGTGTTCTAGTTCCTGGATTAAGATAATTGGATGTGTATGAATTCTGAAAAGCAAAGAGCCTGCGCGCGATTGAACAAGGAATTCCTTGTTCAATTATTTGTCTCGACTGTCACTTTTTATGTTGTCTTTTTTTCTTTCGATCAATAGACTAGACATTAGAGTGTCTGATATCCCGCCAAAGCGATAAAACGCTAGCTGCATAATGTTTACTTGTTGTTCTTCAGTGAAATACTTGTGTTAGATTTGTTTTCTCGTTAATTAAATTAATGTACATTTTGAAAATAAATATATATAGTTGATATTTAAACGGATAAAAATTGTAATTGCAATGATAAAAAAAACAGACTTTGCAGATAGTGTTCTGTTTCTTTTGTTAATGGACTTCGATCGTCTTATCAGTTTCCAGATAACGTTGTCGAAGGTGTGAGAGTGGCGCTTCTTTAAACAGATTGATAGATTTATGACTCCTATGTGGATAGCCGTGACGTTTATGAAACGGCAAAAATGGTCACCGTGCAAGACATCGGTTTACAACTTACGAAGCCAGTGAGAGAGCTGGCACAATGGAATTTTCCCTTCGCTCAGGTATGCTAATAAAATCTTATAGTGTGATAGTAATGCGATATGTATTGAAATAACCTCTCTCTTATTGTTGCAGACTCTGGAACAATACTGCTCTTTGTTTAATACAACGTGTAATAAAAGTTTCGGCGATGCCGGACTTGTTTTACAAAATTCAACGGCTGTCTATGTGCATAGACTTGATTCTCTCTGGACTAAAGTCGAGTATTGCAGAGATGTGTTATCAACTCAAGAGTAAGTGGTTTATCTTAATGTTAACCCCAATTAATAATTAACTTAATTGGTGTCTGAGAATTCAGGATGGACATTTTTTTCAATTATATTTTGAAAAATTGTTTATGACAAATATTTTTCTGCTAGTTTACTCTTTAGGCTATATAATATTTATTAGATTTTGATCTTTAAATTAAACAAAAATTTTATTAACTTCAGACAAAGGTTTAAAATATTATTGGATTGTCCGGAAAGTTCGTGCCAACTAACCTATATAATTTAATAAATGTATACTGAAAATTTAAATTTTCTGCGTTTCAATTTTCCTTCAGCATCGGCATGAACTTTCCAGACGACCCAATAATTCAAAGTATATTCTGGTAAAAATTTTTCTCAGAATTTTTATACAAATCAGAACACATTACAGAAATACTGAGAAAATCTACATATTTTCTTAGAATTTTTGATATATGTGAATTGTAAAATGTTTTAAGATTTCTAAAATTTTTCATTTTGATTTTTGAAAAAAAAACATTTTTTTTTTAATACTTTAAATATTTTCAGATTTTATAAGATTTCATAAAAAATTAAAGAATGAGAAATCTTAAAAATCTTAGAATATTTTAGGATTCATAAATAAAGAATTCTAAAAAAGATAATTGGTATTTATTTTAAAATTTTCTTAGCATTTATGGGTGCACTATCCTGATAAGAATTTTTCATATAATTTTTCAGAATTACCGAATTAATAACTTTATATACTATTTATATAAATTTTCTTTGTGCTTATAAAGTGTTCCAATTTATATAAAAGGTCCGAATAATTTTTTAAAAAGCTATAAAGTTATTAATTCAGTAATCCTGAAAAATTTTTACCAAGTTCACCCATAAATGTCAGCTAAGAAAATTTTAAAATAAATAATACTAATTAGAATTTAAAGAATTGTAACAGGAAACGAAAGAATTTTCTAGTTCGCTAATTAATTAAAAATTATTAGCTTATAATAATATGTATAAAACTGTCTTTCAGGCAAGAAGAGGCGATAAAGAATCCTAAAAAGAGAGATAGAAAAATGACTGATGTATGTTTTCACAAGTTTAAAACTGTCAACTTTGCAGAAGATGTAGACAAACATATCGATATTAAAAAGAATCATGTAGCACATGAGTCGGTTAAATCTAAAAGCCGTCGATTTACTCAATTAGAGAAGAGTATTGCACACGTATCTATCGACATTTATGATGTAAACGGGGAGGTTATTGGCAAAAAATATGATTTCCGGTGAGTATTTCTCTTTTTCATTCATTTCAATTTTCTATTGTACTTAGATAAATTAATCATATCTAATATTTCATAGGTGCAATCAGAATTTAAGTATGGATGATACATTGGTTGATGAATTTGCGCCTCAAGGTATGTGGTTGGTTATACAAATAGATTTTTAATAATAAATGGAAAATAGATCAATAAATATAAATAAATATAAAAATAAATGCGATTTATTTCTTTAGAATTACCCGTGTTTCAGATTTTTATTGTGGCGATGTCTCTATTAAAGAAAAATCTTTGTCGAATTCGTACAGACTTTCGTGCGATACTTCGGCATTGGATTCTACTATACATAACAATAATAATGAAAATGTTAACACATTCTCCGAGTTTGAAAGAGACAATAATTCGCCAGAAGAAGAGATCTCTAATTTGACCATGTCTTTGGAGTTGAGCCAACAAAATCTCTCTATATCTAGAAATACTGACAACATGTTTGTCAAAACGCCAACGAATATTTCAAGCGATAATTGCCACGACGTAACTCTCATGAATACTCTGAGTCAGACATTTGCAAATACACCATCCCATTCAAATTCACCGATATTAACTAATATTGATAATACTGTTTTATCGAATAATTTGGAAAAGCAATGCTTGAACACTAATATCAACGAAAGTATGCACTGTATAGACGTTGGCAGTGTATTAGATAGCCCACCTGAGTCGGTGAATTCGAAAGAAAGAAGGTATATTTTTTGTTATTTTTAATGCTATTTAACCCTTTCATTATTACAGGTAACTGTAATCGCTCGACGCATAAGCGCTTACATTTTAATATAACATACATTTTATTGGCAGATTTCGACATTTGAGAAGACTTATTTACTTTATTACTCAATGTCTTCTTTTCTTATCACTAAAATCATATAGAAGAGATTAATATATTACATAGGTAGTTAAATATGATTTTTAGGCATAATCATTTTTGAACGAGCGCGCATAATTCGTATAGCCATATTATGTAATATGTTTCACGAACGTAACGAAAGAATTAATGTAATAAATTTATTGGAATTTTGAAATTCCTGGTATTTTAGAATTTCATCGATAGATGATTCAGCGATATTAAACGATACAAATGGAGATCTAACGCAATCAAACTTATGTATTGATTTTGTAAAAAAGACTCCTCTGAATGAAAGTAAAAAAATTAAAATACGACAATCTTCCACTTTAAAGTCTACTCCAAAATTGGTATGTTATATTACAATTTTACTGATAATTAGTGATGTTTCTTTCTAATAATATCCTGATGATATTCTGTTTACTTGCAGTTGAAACAAAATCACGCATCGTGTAAAAGACGACGGAGTATAATGAAAAAAAATCTCCTGCATATTTTGGAAAATTCGTTTTCTTTAAAACAAAAAAGTAAATCCGTTATATTCTGTTAATTGAAATCGTTCAATACAAATTTATCCATACTAAATTACATATTTAAATTTAAATTACATATTAATTAATTAATTTAAATTACATATTAATCCATACTCCATAAATTACTCGTCTTTCAGATAAGTCAAGTATGTTTAACAAAAACTTGCGTTCTTGTATGAAGTGCATACGAGAGGATGATCCCTTGCGATACGAAGAAGTGATGAACGCAGAATCAGATCTTTTAGGATTTCGATTACATACTGATACCGAATCGGACATATATATCAACGCCGTAACGACGAATGTCGACGGTAACATAACACCTTCGACCGATAAGGAGATTTCAGAATTTCACAGTCCTATGGATATGTCACCGAATTCACCACACGAAACTTTCTGTGACGTTTGGTTTCGTTCAGATTCACATTTTTTATCAGTAAGTCATTTTAACCGACGGTCAATAAATAAGAGTGGAAATATACTGGTTGTAGATTGCTAATAGAATGAATTTCAGGAAACTGTCGACCAGTGGCACGAGATGATACAGCCCAAATTATGCGACGCCGAACAAAGATCGACATTTTGTATTCGCGATTATACGTCGCGAATTATGGACACTCTGAAGATGAGTGACCAACAAAGAATTAATTTCGATGATGTTATTCAAAAGGAGAGCTCTTATGAGGTGGCCAGATATTTTTTAGCTTCGTTGGATTTGGTGAGAAAGATTATTAGAAGACAAGAAAAATCAGAATTAATCCATCAATTTTTAACGAATCTTATTGTCAACAGGCTGCGAAGCAAAATATAGACATAAAAATGAAAGAGGATCCCGAGCATAATATAGAAATCGTTCTACATACAGAAGATAAATATTGTTCTAACAGTCAAGCGGATTCGCACGATTAACGAGCAAATTCTTAGTTTTAATAACTGTATAAATGTGTATAATATGTACATTAATGAATTTATGTACCTTCCTTCATCAATTTTGGGAAGGTCTCTATACTGTGATATTCTGCAGCTTTTAAGAAAATGTTTATTATTCGATTCTTTTAAAAGAAAAAGAGAGAAGACCTTATGTATATGTACATGTTTGCATATATATGTATATATACATACAATACATATTTGTGTATTAAATTTTTTTCGCAGGATACCGACTCGTTTCTCTTCCATCTCTCGTTTCCATCCTGATCCTTGAGTTACAATTATAGATGCATATGGAATAATAATTATACGATTCATTGGAAATCTATACATCTCCACCAGGCGTGAAGTTCCAATTTAACTACCGTCGTGGTATTACCGAGTGGTAATTCGCCACCGAGCGGTTTATAACGAGCAGAAAGAGACTGTTACAGCGACTGCAGCATGAAATCGATTTTTTTCTCTTCCCTTTTTTTTAATTAAGACTGGAACGTATCCCATTGACACGCGCTCGGCTGTGCCTGTGGCCGTTGAACAAAACGGAGTGTGCATTCACGAACGTTGCGATTGTCCCGGCTCGTCGGTGCACACCACACGCAACGCACGTCTCACACGTGCAATGTATGACAATTGGCCGTGGTGTAATACACAGAGAAATGCTCACGCATGCGTCTCGTCGGATACTGAGCCGACGACGGCATCGGTTCACAGTTTATATATTAGTTTACATTAGGACCACACGAACGGACACCACAAACCGCCGTGTAAACTGCGTTCTCGTTAACGCACCTCGCGAGCGTTCCACTCGCGTGCGCCGAGGAAATAAAGGAATACCGTGTGTGAAATATAAAATTAATATTAAAATAAGCTGTAAGTATTTTTTTTTTCAATGACGAGTGCCACAAAAATATGATCGTCGTTTGGAAAAGTTTGTACAATAGAAAGTTAGCGTTAAGATGAATGTTACGACAAACGGGAGAGTGGTGAGGAGAACGTAGGAAACGGAAATGTGAAACGCTCAGATGTTGCAGAAGTTTAATACACAGTCAATTCCGCTTGATAGTAACCAATCAGACGGCACAGATCTATGTGCTTCTCTCCCCCGATCTCTCTCTCCGGCGTGCCAGAGATATTCAATTGAAATAGTTGCGTTCTGCCGCGCATCGCGTCTTCGCGCTATACACATCGCTTATCGTTCGCACGTTTGTGTAACACACTGATTGCTTTATTAGCTAACAACAACAATTCGGCGAAAGCGATCGAATAATTTAATTAAAATGATTTTTGAAGACTTTTTTGTTATCTTGTCTTAATCACGATTTAGTGATTTAAACTGAAAAAGTTGTTCTGGTTAAAAAAAACTAACAAAAGGGCTCAAGAATGACATTTTAGTGAGAACAAAAAGAATTTCTGGTCAGATGATAACTAGAAATTCTGATCTCACCAAAATGCTATTTTTATTGGGTTCTGTTGATTTAATCAGAACATTTTTCTTTATGAGGATTTCATTTGGTATTTTTCGTTAATTTTTTAAAATAAATTAGCGATAATTTTCTCACTCGATAATTTTTTCACTCGATGCACAGGAGGCTTTTCAAACACTTTTCACAGGAGTTAAAAATCTACGTCAGCATGAACAGCAAGAGTGCATTACTGGTGCAACGCTGGATTCTCCAGCCGCGCGTGTTGCTCATTCTCGTTTTGCTACAATTTATCATTCAGTTTTTCACGTCCGTCTATCTGTATAAGTATATCACGAACGTGGAGAGTGATCTTCGTCGGGTAAAAAGCTTGTATCCGCCAGAGGCTGTGGCTATTCCACGGCGAAGACGCAGCAGCGCATTGCCGACCTCCGAAGACAATGCTGTTTCGGATATGGCCAGTCGGGTATGTAAAATAGCTAGGGAGAACGTTCTCAAAAATCTACGATTCAATTCTGTGTGAAGCAAAAATTTTTTTAATGAAGAGAGAAACTTTGGAAGTTTGAAATTTCCTTATATTAGCTCTCACAAAAATCTAAACAAAAAATATATTATATATATGACAAAATATATATATATATATATGAACATATTTTATGTTA